TCAGAGAGGGGCTCAGGGTACAGATGGTAACGTGTCCTGTCCTATAACTGCAGAGGTGGAAGGAAAAAGAGTGACTATTTAAATTACAGTAAAACTACAAATATGCCATATTGTTAAAAATATACACTACCAGTCAAAAATTCAGACTCTCATTCATTTTTTTTCTATAGGTTTACTACTTTCTACATTTGATATATACACAGAAGACATCAAGGATTTGAAGGAGCATGTATGGAATTATGTAGCAAAGGAAAAAAGTTAAATAACTCTACTCATTTATTTTTTTTATAACCAAATCCTCAAAATAGACACCCTTTCCTTACCACTATCTACATTTTAGATAAAGACAGAAGGCATCAAATATATGAAGTTAAGTTGGTAAAGAAAAAAACTTAAATAACTCTTCTTAATATTTTTTGACAAAGTAAATGGTGGCTTGGTGGATTTAGTTATGAACAGAAAAGAATCCCGCACAGCATCTTTGCATTGCAAATTGTAATTGAATTTTATTAGGACATCTAGGATTTGGTTATACTTTTATTTTTCAATATTAGTAGTTATTTTTTTCTCTTTGCTACAATCCATACATCTTGCTTCATATATTTGATGTCTTCTATAAGTGTACCAAATGTAGAAAGTAGTGAACATTGAATGAGAGAGTGAGTCCAAACTTTTGACTGGTAGTGTATATATCTCTGAAAATGCCAACTGACACAAAATGAATGAATATCCATAATCCTAATAATAATAGTCCTAATCATAATAATGAGTGTTTTTGTGATTTAATTGTCTATTGCACTAAACCTTAACCAGCAGAGCAGAAAATCTGAATTGAGTAGCATAAATGTATAAGCATAATGTCTGATTACACATAATGCCAATAACTATAATTTTACACTAAATGTAAGCCTACATGAAAACGTTTTCTTAAACCCACAAAATCAATCCTCAATTTACAAACTAAGTTCTGACTGGAAAACGGAGCAATGTCTCCATCTAGTGTTGTATAGCGTGTAGCGCGTTCATCTTGTGAAGGTTAATTTTCCTCCATGAAAAAGAAAAAGAAAAAAGCATCAAAACGAGCTACTAGCCTGTTTGCAATACTCTTGGCAACAAACAGTGTCATGCCCAATAAATAAATAAACAAATAAACAAACAAATAACCACGACAAGAATGAGTACATGTGACAGTTTGAAGTGAGAGCCGCTTTGCTAAGTTTCTCAAGACTAACTCTATTTGCCTTTTTGCTCAGTGGCCTTTGACTTACCTTTAATCGTCTGTCTGTACTGTTCCTGTGATATACTGTAAGCGCTGAAACTGCAAACTTAACAAGGATATGCTAATCCTGCAGCAAACATCTACCCAGCGGAGTGCTCCGAAAGCCCGTGAAGGCCTGGAGGTGTGTGTCAGTCCAGCACCATACGTCTGGATCATTGCTGGTAGTACTGTTAGTGTTGTGAATGAAGCAGAAAGAAAAGAAAGTAACCTTTTTAAAGTATTTATTTATTGTTTTTATTTTTTGTCATGTAATGTCATTGTTGTGACAGTCAGTATTAAGTTATTAAATTCATAGTTCATTCATAGTTCTTTAAGGCGTTAGAAGAGCGAAGACTAAAGTGACATACAACGTGATATTGTTTTGGCATCACAGAACCAGATCTGTTCCACTTCCTTTTTCCCCATTTTCCAGAAATTAGTGAGAATTTGAATCCCATGCTTTGCTGTAACCATGAAGTACTCTTTGTTTTCTGGCATCTGAAGAGCATTGTGTCGTCCATACACTAAACTCTGGCACAGTCGACCAAGCACCAGCAGATAGAGGCACTCTCTCTCCTCTTCACTGAGAGGCAGGACACTCTCCCATCCAGCCAGGACTGCTCCGCCCACTTTCAAAGGACAAGGATTGTTCAGCATCAGGTATGCTATAGCCACTGCTATCTCATTTACATAACACTTTCTGTACAGATCTGAGAAGTCTATGATGCCTGACACTTTATGGCAACCATTTCCAACAGGTGTAACTAGAATGTTTTGGCCACTGAAGTCTCCATGGGTGATTCCTGCAGAGATCAGATAGTTTAAACCATTTATGACTATATTTACTTATGCAGGTTATTATTAAGGTACTGGGAAAAATGCAACCAAATGAAAAAACATTACCTGTTGGAAATGAACTAAGTTTGTGAAGAACCTGTGATTTTAATGCTTTAATCACTTCTCTGATGATGCCTTGAAAAGGATCTCCATCCATCACTGACAGGCACTGCTCCACTAAATGTATATGACCAATGTTCCAAGTCTTAACAGTGATTCCATCCAATACATCACAGTTTGGGTGTTTAAACTGAGCGTCCAAAACACACCAGATCAGTTAGTCATTAGATATAGCATTGTAGGTCACAGTATAGTTATAACAAGTATTCTTTATGAACAACTTACCTCTTGCATTGATCTAGACATCATGGCTCCCAGTTGTCCTACATCGTACAAACTTTCTTGTGAGACCTGACATTCTATTATGGGCACTCCGGGCAGATAGACCATCAGCTTCACACAGTAAGTCTGACATCCATGACCACAATCTAATGAAGAGACAGCCATTCATAAAACAGAATTTTCAGATGTTAAGACAGCTTAGGCCTGTTTTTGAGTGAGTGAAAACTGTAAGATCCTTCAGTAGGATGCAAGACAGTATGCTCAAAATGTATCAAAACTGAAATGGCTTAAACTACAGTATGAAAAGCATCAGGTTTTAATTGGAATTATGTGCATTTTTACAATACATCAACCTGTACCTGCTCAAAAACTTAGTATCTTGAATATCTGCTTAGTGACACACAGTAGAAGTTACCTAGTTCCTCAAAACTCAGGAGCTGTCCAGAGAGGTTGTGCAGGGCCGTCTGAACAGGATGACCACAGCTCTTGAGGAATGACATTGCCTCAGTCTGCACCTCTATAATGGTCCTGTTTTTACTGTCAATTGAATTTGTGATCTTCAGAACACACTTTGAACCACCTGTAGTTTTAATACAGAAGTTCTGATCATTATAACTTGGTAAACTAGCAATTTCATTTGCTTTAAGCCCGTTGAGACGTTGGATCAAATCGACCACCTGTTGTGTCGTAAATTCGGGTCGAGGGTTAACAGCTTTTTCAATTTCTGTAAATAAGGTTTGTTTGTTTTTTATTAATATACATGCACTTTTACTAACTAGTTTCAAGATTTATGCTAAATGATTACATACCCATAGCAGGTTACTTCAAGAGCTGAAAGCCCCCCCAAAAAAATGTAGCAAGTAAGTAAAGCAGCAAATCTGGTTGCACCTGACCAAAGTAATCCTTGTGACATTTAACAAGTGGTTTAACAAGTGTTTTGGGTTGTGTCTTGCTCACCTGGACCAATCAGAGTTTTATCGCTGCCTGTTTTCAATACAGCTCATTTCGGTTTATCCACATTCCACAAATAGATTCAAGAAATAATTAGGATGTTTGTTGGTACAGCTTAACAGCTAACAATGGTATTTCCCATCTGTAGTAGCTGGTGCATGTTTTTTTTTAGATTGGACCAGAAAATGCCTAGAACTGTGTTAACAGTAGTAATCATGACAGTACTTTAGTCCCATAATTGGCATAAGAAGAGAGAATAAATGAAGAAACATTGGGATCTACAATGAAAAATTGATTGATCTACAACAGAAATTATTTGGATACAGTAGCTCAAACTGTTGTTAGTTGTTGCTACTATGTCCAAATAATTACCGCATGAGTCACACATTACAACATACTATAATAACACAGAGTAAAAAAAATAAACAAGCAAACACTATAAATGGTAATAATACATTCTAAATAAGAAGCAAAATAGCAAGAGACTGGTGTCAAATAAGGCATAATTATATAAATGTATAGGTAAAATAATGTAAAAATAACATATAGAAATATAGTAATACAAATATATCTCCACTACATGCAAGAGGTTGTAAGGAAAAACAGTGCAAAGATAATATATATGATTGACAGGACATAGGATTTATAGAATAACAACACTGTATTTTAAAATAGCAGATAATGTTAAAAATATATATATATATAATAATAATAAAATAAAAGCCCAGAATCTCTCAGAATCTCTGATCTTGGTGCTTGAACAGTGAGCTGTGTGGTTTGTTGGTCTCATGTTGTTTGTCCTATAGGTATAACAGGTTATTTTAATAGATCCATGTTATAACTAGAATGCTTTGGCTGTTTCCTCAGAAGAGTTACGAGAGTTAAGATATTAAGGTGACATGTCTCAGTTAATTTACACTGATTTTGGTGCCATTCTCCTACCTGTAGGAGAATAGTGCCATCCAAATCAGTGTAAATCAGCTGGCAAGACATACCATAACATTAAGGGAAACATGTCAAGATATGTGTTAACAACTCGCTGGTCTGTAAAAAAGAACAGTTATTTTGATATAATAAGTGGGAAAATGCATTGTTGGAAGTGAATTGGATTTGGGAAGCACTTGTGATTTTAATACTTCAAATGTATATGGTTAAATTCACAAAACTCCACTGGTGTTAAAAACTAATACATTGGATTGATGCTAACTGAAAGCACTACTCTGTTAGAAGCTCTGTTACTCAAGTTAGACTTAATCTGAGCTTTATCTTAGCACAGTCTGACCATCTAAGTAAATAGTTTTTCAGTTAGTCACTCTCAGCTTTTTGTTGAAAACCAAACACCTAAACAGGACCATGAACATTTGTATTGATTTCACAGACTCCTGAAAATGCGTTGTTTAAATCCATTAAGTGTTTTTTCTTGAGTTTCTTAAAACTTTTTGACAGTGTCTGCTAATGTGTGCATGTCATCATGGTAACTGATGAACATTCCACCAATAGGGACACATGTAGAACATCCCCAGCGTGATGTCACAAGTATCAATTAATGACAGCACAGGTACAGCTACTCATATCTTCAGTGTTAGTTAAAGAAAGGCACAGATACACCAGGTCAAAATATTTAGATTTTCAAATTAGAAGTATCGAATCAAGGGGGCCTCACAATGGGTTCTATTGTTATATCTTAGCACCATGAAACCAAATCTTCTCCACATGCTCTTTGTTCAGCTTGGAGAAGTCCCAGAAAATATGGCTCACCTTCTTGGACCACATGATCAGATACTCATTCTCCGGCTGCGTGAGAAGAGAATGACAAACATAACATACAACCTGACAGAAGCGGGCCAGCACCAGCACATACAGACAATCCCTCTCAGCCTCATTCAGGGGAAGTTCACTCTCCCATCCCGCCAGCACTGCTCCTCCCACATCTATGGGGTTAGGATGTATTACCATCATATGCATTATCGCAATGGCCAGTTCATGTACGTAAAATCCGCTGTTCATGTCTCCAAAGTCTATGATGCCACAAATCTTGTAGCAGCCGTTGGTATCAGGTTGGACAAGCAAATTGAGGTCATTGAAGTCTCCTTGATTTATGCCTGTATGAAAAAATATTATATATATGTGTAATTATCATCATTAAAGGTCCTATATTACATGAAACTGACTCTTGTGAGCTTTAAGACAGATTATAATGCTGTTACCTCCTTAATAACATTCCTGGAATTGTGTTTTTTTTTTAATAACGCTTTATTATAAGTATGTCTACCACTTCAAAGTTACTCTGTCCCACCCTGTGATGCCTGTAGTGGTAGTAGTCAGGTTAGCTTTACCTTAGTTCAGTAGAAACTGGCAAATCCAGATATAAATAATTCAAATTATTCTAGTGAAGGTGTATGGAGTTTAAAAACACAAAGGAGTACCTCCTGTATTACCACATGGTGAAATAGAGTATTTCCTGTTTGATAGAAGAACTGGGGTTTGCAGGGTTTGTGTGTTAAACATGAATGAAATGAAATGGTGAATGAAACAAAACACAACTGATGATGAGGACACATCGTAACATAGATCAGAAAATAGTGTAATATGGGCTCTTCAACAAATAGGAGCTGTAGCAATAATACATAAAGAACACAATTTATCTTACTGACATTTTCTGAAATAGGGATATTGAGGCGCCACAGATGATTTGAACAGTTCAATCACAGACTTCATCACTTCTTGAAGGCGGTCTCCATCCAATACGTATAAGACCTTTTCTAATGCAGGAAGGTTTGACAGTTTCCAGACAAAGTTATCTCTGTCAAGTACACTGACACTGGGGTGTTTCATCTGAAAAATAGAACATTTAGTTGGTAATGGTTTAGAAAACGTCAACATGCATTGCTCATACGTTGCTTCATACATTTTGTAAAACTTTGTCGACTTTAGCAGCCATCTTGCCAGTTTCATACAATAACTGTGGAGTGAGAGGAACCTTGGATATGTTTTTTCCAGGTAAATAACTCAACAGTCGTACAAGATACTTCTGACGACCATAGCCACAATCTGTCATTAGTAAAGCCAGTGTAAACAAAAATGGACAGTACAGTAAATTAATATATTGTCTTATATTACACAAAACTGAATCTTATGTGCTTTTAGCCATGTTAGGATGTTGTTGTTACCTCATCAAAAATATACCAGTTGTATTTTGCTTAATTTACATATGTTACCCTTTATCATTAGTCTGTCTCCAAACGCAACGTTGTGATGTCATGTAGTGGTAGTTTTCAAGTTAACAACTACCTTTTAACTTTTGGTCACCAGAGATTGGCAATTCCATGGCTGAAATCATCCAAATGATTGTAGTGAAGGTGCATGGAGTTTAAAAAGTCAGTGGGTCATTTCCTGTATAACCACATGACATCAGAAGGTGGAACAGAGTGTTTTCTATTTCTGTTTGAGAGAAGAGTTTGTGTATTAAACATGTGTGAACGAAATAAAACATAACTCCAGGTATGTTTGTGATGAGGAAACAATATAATCAGAAAATAGCATAATATGGGCTGTTTAAAGCATCTCATCTCATTTCAAAATATTATCTTTGCTTTAATTAACTTAATTTTTTAGAGATGCAGTACCTAGTTCGCGTAAACTCATAAGTTGCCCTGTTGTGGTAGGTATCCCCTTTTGAGTTGGAATCCCATTCTCAAGCAGGAAAGACATGGCAAAGGTTTGGACTTCAATAAGAGTGGGGTTTTTGCTGTCTTCAGAGTTTGATATTTTCAGAACATACTCATTTCCATTTGTGGATAAGACATAGAAGTTCTGGTCATCATAACTGGGCAGGGTGTGGATCTGAGAGGTCGTGAGGTCATACAGGCTCTTCAGCATGTCAGAGGCCTGGGCCAGACTGAAGTTGGGTTTTGAACAATTTTCCGACATATTCTGGAATAACACAAGCAGAGGAAACATGTTTAAGACAGACGTGAAGATTTAGTTTGTCTCAGTAATTTCCATACAAATTAAAATTATAAACATAATATAGATTTTTTTTCCCTTATTTGTGCTACTATGTATGCAATGCTAATGCAGTTTTGAAAGCAACAATCTCTGTTAAGATACAGTTCTTGTAGAGCTGATCTTGAAATATGATCAAAATGTGCAAAAGAACAGGGAAAAAAAAACTGCAGCCAGTCACAAAAAATGAACATGTGTGTCAAATAGTAAGTCAATGCTATCTGAACAAATATAGTGTAAAGCTTTAAAGGTGCAACATGTAACTTTTTGGTTGAGGGTTCATCATTGTCATTGTTATATGTTATTGCTCTGTCATTTATTCAATTACAGGTGGTTTTGTTGCTCAGAAATACTTAGAAAAACAGGTATTCTGACAGTGAGCAAGACTGAGCCTGTGACCGTGCCTCTTCAGCGATCAGACATGTAACTTGGTCTGGTTTGGTCTCCATGAAGATGATGTAAGGAGAAAAGCATTTGACAGGCTCTCCACCACAAAACTTTCATAGTGCACCTTTGAACTAAATTATGAAACATACACAACATAAACATACAATCATCAAGACAAGAATCAAATCTGCAAAACAATAAATTAATGAGTTAATTAATGAAAACATACACACACACAAGAATCCTACCTTGAGGAGAAAAATTCAGTTTGTCGAATGGACAAAAGTTAGTTTGGTTGAAGACGTTTCGCAGCTCATCCAAGTTGCGAAACGTCTTCAACCAAACTAACTTTTGTCCAGTCCACAAACTGAATTTTTCTCCTCATGGATTCTACCTGGAGGACGGAGGGATTCTTCACAAGAATCCTACCTTGTTCTACTTCCTGATGTCTCCAGCAGTAATGAATAAGTAGGTGCATTTAGGTTTTGAGTCTTTGTAGGTGTGGCTATGGATAGGGGGAGTATTTTGTGTGTATCTTGTTTAGGAAAGGAAAATGTAGTGCAAGGTAAAAGAAAATAACAATGTATAATAAAAATAATAATGTAACAAATGCATTAGTAAAATACCATTGCTTCAGAATAATATTACTAAAGGACTTTTTAATTCATCTTTAACATTAATTGGTCAACATAAAGCTTTGTCACTTACTCACTTTATGGAACGAGTAGGTTTTACATTGTATTATAAATTCAAAGTTATATTTTGAAGTAGAATAGAATATTAAGTAGAAGTTGTTTAACTCTATGTCAAAGTTTCCCATCACGTTCTGTCGTAGAATAACTTAAAATGCAGGCCACAGGAGAGTTTCAGTTTATACTTACGCTGAATCATACTTGCTCAAATTAAGAAAAAAAAATAGAAAAACAATTTTGGGACAGTTTATTTATTATTAAGTATTTTGAGATCAGAAAATGTGTTAAATATATTTTTGAATAAGAAGTGATAGTCTATACAAACACAAAAAACACAAAAATGAGAGAGATGAGAAATGATTCTGACTATGTGTAACAAGTGGTGCTACTCTTGTGATAATAATGAGTCAGATTGACCTGAGTAAAACAGTAAGTGCAACAATAATCCAAAGATTAGAACATCAAGCATGTCCTATTTATTTACTCTTGTATTCCCAAATGAGTGAATGTAATCCTGAGCTGCCCACACATGTTGTTTAGCGTCTTCCTCATAGTTGTCACAGTGGACATTTGTATCCATTTTGTTATTCATTTATTTATGGGACCACCAGTGTTTCAGGTTCAACATTCTGTTATAAAGGGCTCTCTTGACAAAGTTTTACTTTGAAATACTGTGACTCTAAAATTCCATAACACTAGCAACCAATTAAAACCAGCACTATTACATAATCCAGCAATATCCAAATCAGTACAACTACATGACTTAACTGTTGCACACACCACACAGTGCTCATGACTGCTTTGAAGCCCCCTTTAGTGGTGTGTGGTGGACTCACTGTCAAATCTGTCTGAAATACATAAAAAATAAAAAAAAAGTTTTATATTTCTTTATGACTTTGAGCTCACAATCCAGTAAATTCTAATTATCATGTGCTAAAAAGGAAAATCAGATAAGTTTTTCCTCGATGCACAAAAGAGAGAGCCACTGTATGTGGGAATGATCGTGTATGTTAGCTTTGTATCTTTAAATTGCTATAGCAACAATCCTGATTTTTCATCATTCTAAAATTCACGGGTAGAAATTTCATATGAAGTTAAAAAAAATGTATTGGTTTTAATAATAAAACTATGATGAATCATATAATACGTATGTATTATACATACAGAACATGATTGTTGAGGCACTTTGATATTTAAAGGTCCTTACATTACACAAAATTGACTCATGTGAGTTTTAAGCCATGATAGAATGTTGTTATCACATCAAAAACATACCTGGAGTTGTTTTCTGTTTAATTCATACATGTTTGAGTATTCTTTTATTTTTAGTCTGACTACATCTCTAAAGCTCAAACTGCTGTTTCACCTTGTCATGCCATGAAGCGGTGGTTTTCAAGTTAACACTTAACCTTTTGTTTAGTAGAGATTGTCAATTCCAGATCTGAAAGTATCCAAATAATTCTAGTGAGGATGTACAGAGTTTAAAAACACAGTGGAGCACTTCATGTATTACCACATTACAGCACGAAGTGGAACAGAGTGTTTTCTGTTTGAGAAAAGAATACAGCCTACAACTCAAGATATGTTTTAGATGAGGAATATAACATGGATCAGAAAATAGCATAATGTGAGACCTTTAAGAGTTGAACGTTCCATCTAATTTTGAATTACAAAACTGCACCGCACTGTCAAACCATACTTTCTCCACGTGCTGTTTGCCCAATTTCCAGATGTCCCGAAGAATACTGATACCTTTCCTCGATGTTGTCATCAGATACTCCTCATTCTCCGGGTGCATAAGAACAGAATAATGGGCTAAAACCAGGGACTGACAGAATCGGCCTACGACCAATATATACAAACAGTCCCTCTCTGCCTCATTCAGGGGAAGTTCACTCTCCCATCCCGCCAGCACTGCTCCTCCCACTTCTATGGGGTTTGGGTGTTCTATCATCATGTACATTATAGTAATAGCCAACTCATTAATGTAAAATCCACTGTTCATGTCTCCAAAGTCTAGTATGCCACAAATCTTGTGGCAGCCATTGTTATCAGGTTGGACAAGCACATTAAGGTCGTTGAAGTCTCCGTGGTTTATGCCTGTGTGAAAATATAAACACAGAATTCACTGTAAACAGTTAAGACAGAGGTGATTTGATTTTAAAGGTTCTACATACTGAATTAATCTTAATAATAAATCTAATGTATGTTGACTTCATTGAGTTTTAAATGTACACTGTGCAGCTTTTCTGATGGAGGGTCTGCCATCAGCTTGTCTCCAAGGAAATGTTGTTGCTTTGCCTGGTGTGCTCCACAGTATGGCATTAGACAAATATATCTAGTATGTATTCAACTACAGGTGTTTTTATTTCTCAAAACTACAGTTAAAACATGCATTATTACTGTGAACAGGCCCACTTCTCCACAGATCTGATCCGTAACTTAGCATTGTAATGTGGCCTGTCTCCATGCAGATAGTTAAGTTAAATGTTATCCTGTTGAACATTCCGGAGAAAAACATACAACAAAACAATAAAATGAAATGGTACGACTGCTATGGTGTTCTCATTCTCTCCTGCAGTAAGTTTATGTTTTGTAAGTGTTGCTTATAAAACATCTAAAATGAATTGATTTTAAATACAGTGCAAACAATGTCTACTTACATTTGCGGAATCGTGGGTAACTGGGTACTACTGTAGTCTTGTAGAGATCAATAACTGACTTAACCACCTCTTGTAGTGGCTCTCCATCTAATACATACAGATATTTTTCTAATACAAGAAGGTTTGACAAACTCCAAATGAATCCATCTCTGTCCAACTCTCTGATATAAGGATGGTCCATCTGTAAAACCAGTGAAATATGATATAGTTTTTGTATGGTTTACAAATAATGCATCAGTGTTTCCCATTAATACAGGAGACTATGGTGGCTCCCCTTAAACTAAAATTCTCTCCCATAGTCCAACAACTTGGGCTATATTGGCATCACAAAATTACACTTTGTTGCCCATTGTCTTATTATAAACAACATATTTATTCTGGGCAAAAATTATGTTAAATTAAATAAGCAACAAACATCATCAAATAAAGTTGTGCCACCAAAGTCTCCCCTATGGCATGGGTGTGCAACTCATATTTACAGAGGTCCAAAATTAAAAACTGTGACTAAGTCATCTGCTAAACTATATATTCAAATATTTCTACAAAATCTGCTTGTTTTCTCTTCTTTCGAGATATATAATGTTAAACCCTTTTCTTATTAAAATAAATGTTTAATAATAGTTTTGCTTCAACACCAAACCCAGAACAAGCATGATATAAAACAATAACATTTTAAATAAATAATGTTTCTATATCTGTAGCTGTTAAATACCTTTTGTAGAATTTTGTCCATTTTAGCTGCCATCTTACCAGTCTCAAATAGTAACTGTGGTGTGAGGGGGACTTTGGATATTGTTTTTCCAGGTAAATAACTTAACAGTCGAACAAGATACTTCTGGTGACCATAGCCACAATCTGTCAACAATAAAAACAAGTTAAGCAACATTCTGCAATAGTCAGACCTACAAAATACAGTGAAATGGTTTGATTAGCAATCCTTAGAATGCATTATCCATGTTACTACTAGTTACTTTTTAACCTTTAAACCTATTAACCTTTAACCTTTACTGTCTTTGTGCTATGTTAAATGTAAAGTACAGAATAGCAACTGTCCTTCACGCAAATATGACACTGGTAATAGGAGTGACACGAATGTTATTTTCAATACAACTTAATAAATATACTGAAGTCTTATACTAGAGTATTCTAAGCAGGAAATGTCAAACTTTGTCCTATTTATTATGTGATTCTTTTTCTCAGTATTGATACTTCAGTTCAAACGAGTTTACATCTAGTTTTGATATAGGTTTAGTGCCTATTAAAATAGATTAGCTTTTTTTCTTATTTTATTTTATTTATTTATTTATTGACCAAACCTGGCCTAAAACACTGCAAACCTTAAAATACTTAAAATAAAATTTTAGTTTTAAAATAACTTAAAATTATATATGACACTCCCTAGTAACAAGGTCCATCTAATGTAACAAAACCTCTTACCTAATTCTTCAAGACTCATGAGTTGTCCTGTGACTGTTGGTGTAGCAGTTTGAGCTGGAATCCCATTCTCATTTAAGAAGGACATGGCAAAAGTCTGGACTTCAATAAGGGACTGGTTTTTGCTGTCTTCAGAGTTCATAATTTTTAGAACGTACTCTTTTCCATTTGTGGATAAGACATAGAAGTTCTGGTCATCGTAACTGGGCAGGGTGTGGATCTGAGAGGTCGTAAGGTCATACAGGCTCTTCAGCATGTCAGTGGCCTGGGCCAGACTGAAGTTGGGTTTTGCATGTTTTTCAGACATGTTTTCTGAGACACATAAAAAAAATAAGTTTGATTGCACATCAGATGAAATGTGGGATAAACAAAGAGAAAACTATTGGTAGACTTCTATAGGTTAATAATCAATCATATATTTAGGCTACTACCTTTTATTTCCTTGTTTGCATTATTATTATATTATGTCGTCTAATACCAGGTTACACAACAAATTAACCATATGTTTTTGTTAATACTCAAAACAGTTACACTATTTGAGAGAAAGCTATGATAAGGCTTTATAGTTTACTTTATTTAAAATAAATAAAAGTAGCAGCACGCGGATCGGCGGCAGAAGGCTACATTAGAGGCCACGTTCCCATACAGGATGTGTCCAGCTCATAGTCTATGGTCCAGCTGTATGACCACATGTGCAGAAAACATCCAGTTATAGACTGCAGGCTACAGTTATCCCGTTATTTGCGCGAATTGCACTTACCTCGAAGTGCGATTTAAAAAATGAGTAAACCACTTCAGCCACTCGCTCACAAGTATCGATCGGCCACGTACTCTTGCGGGCAAGGGTCGCGCAGTCTGTCGTCTACGTCTGTGCATCCGGGCTGTTCTTTCAAAGTAAAAACCTTTTTTGTTGTCGCCCACAAAATTTAAACTTGATTAACTAATACTTTGCTCCTGTTTTATAGCTACCTTACGCTTAGGTCTAGTCCATAGACTGTATATGGTCTAGCTTATAGCCTATGGAAGAAACCTATAGCTTATTAGTTTTCTGAAAACACAAAAAGTGAATTTGTATAACTTAGGTCAGAAATGTTTGGCTAAACAATTTCTGTAATTTGGGTAATTGGTTAAGTAAGCACCCTCCGCATTTGATTTCCGTTCATGAGTAAATGTAGCAACAAAGGACAGCTTTTGTGATATGGATGTGGACCAGGTGTTGAGTGCATCAAGGTGATCAGTTTGTTTGTGTGTGTGTGTGTGTGTGTGTGTGTGTGTGTGTGTGTGTGTGTGTGTGTGTGTGTGTGTGTGTGTGTGTGTGTGTGTGTGTGTGTGTGTGTGTGTGTGTGTGTGTGTGTGTGTGTGTGTGTGTCACTAAACAATATAATCAAAACAACATCAAACCCTTGATCATTTTAAAAAGGTGCAGTTGCAACATGGTTGGACTTGTTTTGTTCTAATCCCTGGCAGCTTAGTTCAAACTCCTCCAGCCACTGAATGTCCTGAGGTGGCTGTGGCTCACACAGAGAAAAGTCCACCACTCCTCACAATTTAATCCAACAACTTCATTATCTCACATGCACAATATTTATTTTACACTTTTCCTTATAAAAAGGAAGAAAAAAAAAGATACATCCTTTAGACTTTGCTGTCACTGCTTAGCATCATTACAGCATAACTATACACCAAGCAGCAAAAATTAAACCTTCACTTTATATTTGGGAAAACGTGGAATTTCAATCTGGGGATTATCATCAGCCATTGCATTTATTAAGTGTGGACCCTGGCTGGAGTTTTACATAAATAAATACATACATACATACATACATACATACATACATACATACATAAACAAATAAATAAATAGTAGAGGGATACTTTTGCTTATTGCATTGCATTTCACTTTCTCAAATCCACATAGTACCTGGCCATGCTTCTCTTTATACCCATTGTTCGCTTATTGTCCTATTCACACTGATGTATAACTGTTTCATTTTTGTGTCATCTTCCCGCTGAACATGTTTTATGTATGCATGCATCATCTGCTTTTGTGTGGAAGGGTAAATGGTTGAAGGATAACAGCTTTGTAAAGCAGGACATAGTGAAATTGTGGATAATGTATCTCATTTGAATAGAATTCTCTAATTCAGATGTTTATGTGGAATACATTTTTATTAAACATAGCAATCACTGCAACCCATGTACTGTATATAAGTTTACAATAAGACTCTATTCAAGATTCTATTAATCTCGAAATTGCAATACCATACCAAGGACACCACCAGTTTGGCCCTTGTTAGTTCTGTTTAACTTACGTCATCAGCCGTTATTCCGTATAATGGCAGTAGTGTCCATTCATCTGCTTCCATGAGGGGTAAAATAACATACATTAACGTATATTGCACATGCTCTTTCTCTTATTGGAGCTCAAATGATACCTGATGTGTTAAAGGGCACTATGTAACTTTTCTTCCATCTGCCAATCGTCATGAAATGCAATGCCATTCAAAATATCTGTCTCCATCACGAGACGCTGCAGGCCAAATTACAGGTCAGATCTGTGGAAAGTAGACGCCTCTCACTGTAATGCATTTCTTGTATAGAGTGTATAGAGCAGTCTAATGCTACTGTGGAACATTCTGAGCAAAACAAGAAAGTGGCAGATCTTTCACCAGAAATGTTATAATGCTGGAGCTGACAAACCTTGTATATTAATTCAAACTTTGTAGTAAAATAATATATGGATAAGAATGGATAAGAAACAAAATGATACATACATGCAGGCCTGTCATGAGAATTACTTATCGTTCAATGTTCAATACATGACAGATGAAACAATCATTTTTTGGGGTCAGTATTTATCGTGGGGACTTTTTCTTTGCACTAATGAGAACATTTTGGTAATTTGAGCTGTAAAAGGTTGAATTATGAACTTCTATGACTCATTATAGATACAAACTAACTACTAAATTGTGTCATTCTGCTATTTCTTTATTGTAACTCATATTTTAACAATATTGTACATTTAGAATACTTTTTGAGGATAATTCAGCTAATGTTTTGGTTTCAATATTGCAAATTAATTCAATATCAAATTCAAATTTGTTTTCGTGACAGGCTTACTTACAAGTCAAAATGGCATTTGAGGTCAAACGCTTATTAACATGCATCGGTTATAAGGATTAGGCAAACATCTGCTGAAGCAAAGCTCATCATTCATCATTAACACAAACTGCAATGTGAAACTACTGACACCTCACTGTATTATTCACACACATCACTGGCCCTGTGTATCTAAAACACACATATTTGGTCACACACTGATGAAAAGGATTGATAATGAGCTGTAGCAGCAAATTCAAACTAGTTATCTTTATTACTTATAATTCACTAAATCAAAGATGAGTTCAGTTTCATGATATATAATAGAAGAATATTATCCATTATCCATTCATTATCCATTTAAAGATATAGGATGAATTTCAAATTCAACTGACAAGCTACATTAGTCAAAAATAAAACATTAATACTATTCCTATTGGAAGTCTTGCAGTGTGCATCACTCATGCAAACCTTATGATTAAATTTGGAGTCAAGTTTGTGTTTGGTTATATAAGCTCTGGAGCCTCACTGAAACTTCACTTGACATAGTAACTTTTGGCTGGGACTGGGTAAAAGAGAACTCAAAGCAAGAATTGTAGGCTCCCTTTACCCACACAGTGCTAAATGTGCTGACTGAATACTAATACTAATACTAATACTACTATTACTGCTGCTATAAATAAAAAATTCACCATGCACTACTATTACTGCAATATATTGTATAGCACATTAACATATAAATAATCCATCTTTTTATGATGCTTTTGGTACTCTTAATTTTTCATGACCAAAAGAACAAAAATGCTGAGTGATTATTTAAAGACACAGTATAAAACTTTTTTTTTTTTTTTCCCCCAAAAACAGACATAGCTAACATGGTAGCTGGGACGTTCCATATAGGAAGTTTATATGCAGGTTCTTCCGGCTCCTACTGACCCTGGTTCCTATTGAATTACATTGGAATATCAGTGTCCCTCTCTCTGTAACTGCTGCAGTATATATATATATATATATATATATATATATATATATATATATATATATATATATATATATATATATATATATGTGTATATATATGTGTGTGTATATATATATATATATATATATATATATATATATATATATATAATATATATATATATATATGTGTGTGTGTCTGATATATATATATAAAAAATAAAAAAAATGTGTTTCTCACCTTCCACGGTGGTAGGTCTCTCTCACCCTCATTGAGCTCGGGTCCTCTACCAGAGGCCTGGGAGCTTGAGAGTTCTGCGCAGTATCTTTGCTGTTCCCAGTACTGCACTTTTCTGGACTGAGATGTCCATTGTTTTTCCTGGTATCTGTTGAAGCCACTCTTCCAGTTTGGGGGTTACAGCCCCGAGTGCTCCGATCACCACAGGCACCACTGATGCCTTTACTTTCCAGGCTCTCTCCAGCTCTTCCTTGAGCCCCTGGTATTTCTCTAGCTTCTCGTGTTCCTTTTTCCTGATATTACCATCGCTTGGTATTGCGATGTCCACCACCACGGCTCTGCTCTGTTTCTTATCCACCACCACTATGTCTGGTTGGTTCGCCATCACCATTCTGTCAGTCTGTATCTGGAAGTCCCACAGGATCTTGGCTCGGTCATTCTCCACAACCTTTGGAGGTGTTTCCCACCTTGATCCTGGGGTTTCCAGCCCGTACTCTGCACAGATGTTTCTGTACACTATGCCCGCCACTTGGTTATGTCGCTCCATGTATGCTTTCCCTGCCAGCATCTTACACCCTGCAGTTATGTGCTGGACTGTCTCAGGAGCCTCTTTGCACAGCCTACACCGTGGGTCTTGTCTGGTGTGGTAGATCTGGGCCTCTATTGCTCGAGTGCCCAGGGCCTGCTCCTGAGCAGCCAGGATCAGTGCCTCTGTGCTGTCCTTCAGACCAGCCCTCTCAAGCCATTGGTAGGATTTCTTGATATCAGCCACTTCAGTTATGTTCCGGTGGTACGCCCCATGTAGGGGTTTGTCCTGCCATGATGGTCCCTCCAGCACCTCTTCCTCTTGTCCTTGATGTACTCAAGGAGCTTGGATGTTTCATCCTGGACAGTGGTTCCCACACTCACTAGTCCTCGGCCCCCTTCCTTCCGGCCTGCGTACAGTCTCAGGGTGCTGGATTTGGGATGGAACCCTCCATGCATGGTCAGGAGCTTTCGTGTCTTAACATCTGTGGTCTGTATCTCCTCCTTTGGCCAGCTTACAATCCCTGCAGGGTATCTGATCACTGGCAGGGCGTAGCTGTTGATTGCCTGCACCTTGTTCTTGCCATTGAGCTGGCTTCTAAGGACTTGCCTCACTCTTTGCAGGTATTTGGCCGTAGCCGCTTTCCTTGTTGCCTCTTCGAGGTTGCCATTTGCTTGTGGGATACCAAGGTACTTGTAACTGTCCTCAACGTCTGCTATTGTTCCCTCTGGGAGTGACACCCCCTCTGTGTTGTGGTAGGGATCACTGTCAGTGCTGCATTCACATCGTCTAGGAGACTTTCAGATGGTACTTCACTTAGTCTGTCTCTCTCTCTCTCTCTCTCTCTCTCTCTCTCTGTCTCTCTCTCTCAGTCTCTCTCTCTCTCTCTCTCTCTCTCTCTCTCTCTCTCTCTCTCTCTCTCTCTCTCTCTCTCTCTCTCTCTCTCTCTCTCTCTCTCTCTCTCTCTCTCTCTCTCTCTCTCTCTCTATCTCTCTATCTATCTATCTATCTATCTATCTATATATCTATATATATATA